ATTTCCCACATTCGCTGCACTGATAAGGCCTTTCTCCTGTGTGAATTCTCTGGTGTGTAAGAAAGTGATGTCTTCGGAGAAAGGATTTCCCACATTCACTGCACTGATAAGGTCTTTCTCCTGTGTGCACTCTCTGATGAATACTGAGGTAGGAACCATATAAGAAAGATTTCCCACATTCACGGCACTGATATGGTCTTTTTCCAGTGTGAACTCTCAGATGGTAACGCAGGCCCGATTGTGAGGTGAAAGATTTGTCACAATCACTGCACGGATAAGGCCTTTTTCCAGAGTGAACTCTCAGATGATGACTAAGGCCACGGTGAGAGATAAAAGCTTTCCCACATTCACTACATTCATAAGACTGTCTTCCACTGTGAATTACCTGGTGCCGACTGAGGTAAGATTGTTGGCTAAAGGATTTCCAACATTCACTGCACTCATAAGGCCTTTTTCCTGTGTGTGCTCTCTGGTGTAGAATGAGTATGGAACTACCGGGAAAGGATCTCCTACATTTGCTGCACCAAAAAGGCCTTTCTCCTGTGTGCACTCTCTGGTGTAGAGTAAGGACTGATCTACTGGTGAAAGATTTCCCACACTCACGGCATTCATGGGGCCTTTCTCCAGTGTGAACTCTCCAATGCAGAATGAGGTAAAATTTTCTTCTAAAGGACTCCCCACATTGTGTGCACTCGTAACGCCTTTCTCCAGAGTGAACTGTCCGTTGTCGAATGAGGATGCATCTCTCGCTAAAAGTTGGTGCACATTCACGGCACAAGTCACATTTTTCCCCAGCGTGACTTCTCCAGGGATAAATGAGCACAGATTTTGGGTGAAAGGACTTCCCACATTTGCCGCACTTGTACTTCCTTGGGCCACAGTGAAATCTTCGATGCTGACTGAGGGTTGAGGTTCGCCTAAAAGACTGGCCACACACGGGAAGGCTTTTACCTGGATGCACTCTCTGGTGAACAGCGAATGAGGACTGATCCCTGAATGTTTTCCCACATGCACTGCACATAAAACACTGTTTTGCAGTGCGAACATCTTGGTCCTGAGCACGTGTGTCTCTCAGACTGAAGCCTTTCTTACATTCTCCGCAGGTGAAAGAAGCTTTTCTCTCTTTCCCGTGTGTTTGGAGGTTTGCACCCAAATAGAATTCCTTCCTACATTCCCCACACCAGACCACGTTCTGGCTGTGTGGTGTTCCTTGGTGCTCAGCCAACTGGAATATGACTCTCAAGACGGGACGACAGCTCTCACATAAGTGGGTCTTCAAGGAAGACACAGCTGCCTTGGAGGGGCTGGACGGTGACACTCCTCCAGAAACACTCTGTTCACAGGGAGCGTCTGCATCCTCTGCTCCACAGCAGCCACCTGAACACAAATAAACGCTGGTGAAGTACAGGCTGACTTTGAGGATGGAGCAACACCATTACAAATGTGCATTCGTCACATCGAGAACTGAGTGTATGGCTTGCTTTTTATTTTTAAAAACATATTTTATTGGTTTTTTTACAGAGAGGAAGAGAGAGGAATAGATAGTCGGAGACATAAATGAGAGAGAAACATCGATCAGCTGCCTCCTGCACAACCCCCACTGGGGATGTGCCTGCAACCAAGGTGCATGCCCTTGACTGGAATCAAACTCAGGACCCTTCAGTCCGCAGGGCGATGGTCTATCCACTGAGCCAAACCGGTTAGGGCTATGGCTTGCTCTTAGATGAAAGGAGTTAAAACCTGGTGGGGGAAGTTGCTACTGGGCATATTCTAAGGCAAAAGAATGGGAGAGGACTTACCAGAGAAAGGATATAAGAATAGGGTGTAACACAAAAAAAGATATTCACATCTATTGTAGCTAATTTTTGGTCAGATGGACAAAACATAAATTTTTTGCTGCCCCTCAGAATTACTGTAATTAGTTTATGTGTGCCATGAGATGGAAAAGGTTGAAAATCCCTGCATTGCCCTAGTCAGGTTTGGCTCAGTGGATAGAGCATTGGCTTATAGACTGAAGAGTCTCCTAGGTTTGATTCCGGTCATGGGTTGTGGGGTCGATTCCCAGTAGGGTGGGGGGTGCAGGAGGCAGCAGATCAATAATTCTCTCATCATTGATGTTTCTACCTCTCTCTCCCTCCCCTTTCTTCTCTGAAATAAATAAAAATATATTAAAAAATAAAAATAAAATCACTGGATTAATATAAGGCAATGGAAGGAGGTCAAACACTGAAATTGTGATGGATAGGCCAGACACCCATTCCTCAGCCATGCTGAGAAGGGATTTGTGAGTAGGGAGGAAAGTCTCTTGTCAAGTTCAGAGATCTCCAGATTTGGAGATGTATGATTATCAGATTGACTAACTCAGGTAGGAATATTAACAAGTAGCTTTTTTGTTCCTCTTGAAATTTGTTTCAAAGTCCCCATGGCTAAGCCCGCATGGCTCAAAGGTTGAGCGTCCATGTATTAACCAGGAGGTCACAGTTCAAGTCTACCATGAGCTTGATTCCCAGTGGGAGTTGTGCAGGAGGCAGCCAATCAATGATTTGCTCATCATGTTTTTTTCTCTCCCAGATCATTGATGCTTTTCTCTCTCTCCCTCTCCCTCTCTCTCTGAAATAAAAACTATGTATTTTTTTTAAAAAAGAAAATCCCTGCCCAGCTGGTGCGGATCAGTGGATGGAGCATCGGCCTGTGGACCAAAGGGTCCCAGGTTGGATTCCCGTCAAAAACAAGTACCTCGGTTGCAGGCTCCTCCCCAGCCTGGCCCCTGGTTGACCCATTAGGAGGCAACCAATCAATGTGTTTCTCTCACATGATGTTTCTCTCTGTGTCTTTCTCTCTCTTCCACTCTGTCTAAAAATCAGTGGGGAAATACCTTCGGGTGAAGATTTAAAAAAAAAAATCCCTTTCAGATTAATCATTAGTATTCTCCATAAAATAAATAAATAATTTTTTTTTTTTAAGTCTCTCTGGATTTGGACTTTTGATGCTTTCTGCTTAATTTTTTGCACTGTATTCTGTGTTCGACTGAATTAAAACTATTTTCTATATTAAAAAAAAAGAGAGATGTTCTAAAACAAATTCTGTTAGGTGGGTGGGTGCGAGGTAATCAACCAAGGATCTTGTATACATATATGCATGTCCCCAGGACACAGACAATGGGGAGGTGAGGGCCTGGGGCAGGAGACAGGAGCGGGCTGGAGGGGGTCAAAGGCAGAAATAAGGGGACATATGTAATACTTTCAACAATAAGGAATTACTTTTTTTAAAAAAAATAACCTTCAAAAAATAAAAATAAAACTACTTCTGATGCAAAGGAGTTTCCACAGGACCTTTCCTTCTTGTGACATTAGGCTGTGTTAGAAACAGAGGCACAAATGGGAAAAAAACCAACTGCAAGAGAGTAGCTGCCATGAAGGGCAATTTCAAAACAGACACTGATCTCATGGCACATGTGGACAGATGTTGCAAAGCAATAGAAGAGCTGAGAGAAATATGTGAGCTACAAAGACCAGAGATTCTCCATGGACTACAAGTCGGAGCAACAACAACATAGTAGAATAGACGACTCAGCCAAGTAGCAACAGTGAGGAAGGGGAAGTAGAAGTAAGCTTTGGCACTGGCAATGACAACAAAACACGGGTCACATGGAAAACGTTCCTGGTAGGATAGGAACACAGGTTGCTCGCTCACCTTACCCAGCCTCAACATGACCGGATGGGATACCTGTGAGTTCACCTGGCAGCCTTGGCTATGGAGAATCCCTACAACGTTAGCCATCCCTTGCAGGTCTGGTTCCTTCCCAGAGCCCAAACTGCCACAGCCTTGAAGGTTAATGACCTGACAACCAACTCAAGATGAAAACTTTTGCACATGAAGAGGAGTGTATAAAAGCAGGAAAAGGTACCCGATCCATCAAATGTGGAGACACCAAGAAAATGTTGGAAGGAACCCCAAAATATCAAGGAAACATGTCATCACCAAAGAAGCACAATAAGTTTCCAGCAAGTGAAACCAACAAAGTGCTGGGCAAAGAATTCTGTGTAATTGCTTCACCGATGCTCACCAAGCTCCAAGAGAGCACAGAGACACCACTCGGGGAAATCAGGAAAACTACATGAACACATCAAGTTTAGAGACATAAACTTTATTTTATTTTACTAACTTATTTTTTTTATTATCTTTTTAATTTGTTTAGTGGTTAAGGTATTACAAATGTGTCCTCATCCCCCCATTATCCCACAGCCCCCCCCCCCCCCCCATGCGCTCATCCTCTTGTTGTCCGTGTCCATTGGTTTGGCTTATATGCATGCATACAAGTCCTTTACTCACTTGTTTTTTAAACTAAAGGCCCAGTACACAAATTCATGCACCAGTAGGGTCCCTCGGCCTGGCCTGCGGGATCAGGTCAAAACCGGCTCTCCTACATCTCTCCGAGAGGTCCTGGATTGCAAGAGGGCGCAGGCTAGGCCAAGGTACCCCACAGGTGCACAATCGGGGCCGGGGAGGGACGTGGGAGGTTGGCCAGCCAGGGAAGGCTCCAGGGTGTGTCCAGCCTGACTCGGTCTCACTTGGTCCCAATTGGCCAGACCCCAGTAGCAGGCTAACCTACGAGTAGGAGCATCTGCCCCATGGTGGTCAGTGCATGTCATAGTGGGCGGTTGAGTGGCCTTAGCATATCATTAGCATATGACGCTTTAATTGGTTGAACGGACGACCAGACACTTAGCATATTAGGCTTTTATTATATAGGGTATGCTTTATTGATTTGAGAGAGAGAGAGAGAGGATGGGAGAAAGAGAGACAGAGCAACATCAATATCAGAGAGAAACATTGATCGGCTGCCTCCCTCAGGCTCCCCAACCAGGCATCCAGCCCACAACCTGGGCATGTGCCCTGACCCAGAATCAAACCAGGAGCCTTTCAGTGCCTGGGAGGATGGTCAGCCAACTGAATACTCTGGAAAATTTTAAAAAATGAAAAATGTTTACATTTTCATATTTTTGCCCCAATGACCAGAAACTTTTTTTTTTTTTTTTACATGTGGCAGATAGAAACTGGTCGGGATATCTAGGCTGTGAAGGTACCTGAGGAGCAAGGGGGCTCGGCCCCAGACCAGGAACCTAGCCAAACTCTGGTTGTAAAAACCAGCGGGAACTGAAGCTGAGTGATGAGACGGTGAGAGTCTTACCCAGAGAGGATACAAGGGCCAAGTTCTCCAGCATCACCTCCTGGTACAGGCGTCTCTGAGCCTCATCCAGGAGCCCCCACTCCTCCCAGGAGAAGTACACGGCCACGTCGTCAAAGGTCACGCGGTCCTGTTGAGATGGGGACAGAGGAAACGAAACAGTTAGTCTTTCTGAGACCTTCACAGCCCACCCCTCACACACCTTCCCAGGCTCCTCCTCCTCCAGGGCGGCCTCCCTCCCAGGAGACACCAGGCCCTGGGGACCCTGATGTCTGCTCATTAATTAGGGTTCCATAGTGACTGTGTTTATCTTTTATTTTTAAAATATACTGATATCAGAGAGGAAGGGAGAGGGAGTCCTATCGAAACATCCACGGTGAGAGAGAACCACTGCTCAGCCGCCTCCTGCACCTGCCCCACTGTGGTTGGAGCCTGCAACCCGGGCACATGCCCTGACCCGGGATCGAACCTTCACCTCCTGGTTCATCGGCCGGAGCCCAACCCCTGAGCCACAGTGTCTGTGATCAGCCCTCAGCCAGGGAAGCTAGGGACTCCCTCCCGCCTGTAAAGCAGCTCCCTGCGGACGCAGCCAGAGGGGGCGCTGCTGCACCGGGTCCCCGCACCAGGGACTCGGCGCCACCGGCTCACAGCGCCTCCCCGCGGGCACCCCGTCCTCCACCCGCTGCCTCCGTCCTCCCCCAGGCGAGCGCCCCTGGGGGGAGCCTCACACCCACTCCCCTGGGCGGGAAGTTCCAGCCACGCCCACCGCGTCGTCTCTCCCTTTCGCTCCAGTCGCGTGCGCGCTCGCGAGGCCAGCAACTGGCGGGTCCAGAGGAGACCGGAATCCCCACCCCCAAGACCCACGCCAGGAAAGGCCCTATCAGGATGCCAATGGTTCGGTTCGCGTGGCCTTCTGGGTAATGTAGTTCCTAGCACTCTATTCCCCAGCCCCGCGGCATCCCAGCCCCGCGGCATCCCAGCCCCGCGGCATCCCAGCCCCGCGGCATCCCAGCCCCGCGGCATCCCTGCCCCGCGTCACAGACACCTCCCCCCGCACCCGTTTCCGTGCTCACGGCGCCCGGTGACTCACACGCTCCACACCGTCAGTCACGACCCCCGCCCCCAGGGGCCCCCAGCAGGAGCCGCCCCGAGGGAGGCTCGGAGTCCGCCCTGCGCCCCCCTTTCCGTTCCCCATCAGGCGCCAGCACCCCCTTTCCACGGGGCGCGGACCTGCTGGCGCCCCAGGAGCTCTGACGCGCCGCTCGGCTCTCGGCCTTCCTCGCGGACGCGGGGCCGGGTTGAGGGGTTGGGAGGGGGAGGCGGGTGGCCCCGGGGACACGCTCACCTGAGCCGGGCGCCCCGGCGCGGCCGCAGCCATTGGGCTCTCGGGCGCAGGGGGCGGGGAGAGAACCCTGTCCCGCCCCGAAGCGGGTCCCTCGCGGGGTCGCCGAGCCCCACACTCGCGTCTGTGCTGCGGGGACACCGGCTCCTCCGCGCCTTCCAGGCTCCCTCCCGAGTGAAGCTGGAAAGGACGCCTGGGAGGCGGACCCAGCAGGTTTAGCCCCCAGCGAGGCAACGTCCTGCTCGGTCATTGGCTAGTGTGGGCGCTGTGCCTTCTGGGTAATGTAGTTCCCAGGCTCTGGAGGTGGCGGGGAGGAATTCTGCAGTGGGCCTATAGGACGGCGGTTCTCAACCTGTGGGTCGCGACCCCTTTGGAGGCCGAACCACCGTTTCACAGGGGCTGCCTAAGACCATCCTGCATATCAGATATTTACTTGAGGATTCATCACAGTAGCGACATGACAGTGATGAAGTAGCAAGGAAAATAATTTTATGGCCCTGGCGGGTTTGGTTCAGTGGATAGAGCATCAGCCTGCAGACTGAAAGGTCCCAGGTTGGAATCCGGCAAGGGCACATGCCCGGGTTGTGGGCTCGATCCCCAGTAGGGGGCGTGCAGGAGGCAGCCAATCAATGATTCTCTCGCATCATGTCTCCCTCTCCCTTCCTCTCTGAAATCAATAAAAATGTTTAAAATAATAATAATAGCCAAACCGGTTTGGCTCAGTGGATAGAGCATCTGCCTGCGGACTCAAGGGTCCCGGGTTCGATTCCGGCCAAGGGCATGTACCTTGGTTGCGGGCACATCCCCAGTAGGGAGTGTGCAGGAGGCATCTGATCAATGTTTCTCTCTCATCGATGTTTCTAACTCTCTATCCCTCTCCCCTCCTCTCTGTAAAAAATCAATAAAAGTATATTTTTTTTAAAAAAAGAAAAGAGGACAAAATGGCTGCCCGAGGGAGGCGGGCGGAGCCTCCGGGCCGGGAGGCGCCGGGCCTGTGCTGGGCAGCAGCGGCGGGAGCCGATGGGCTGAGTCGGGGCCGGGGACATCGCCCGAGAGTGGGGACGAGGAGATGTAGAGCCCGGTGTCGGGCGGCGTGAACTTCTTCGCCAACGAAGGCAGCTTCCTCGAACTATTTGAAAGGGCGAGTCATCGCAGGGCCTGACCACGCTGCTGGCGGCCTCGGGCACGGACTCCCCAGCCCACAGCGGGAGCCCGGCACAGGCTGCCACCCGCCCGCCGCCCCTGGACCGGATCCACGCAGCAGCAGCGGCGGTGGGGCGGGGCACGTGCCCTTGCCCGAGGAGATGGAGGAGGAGGCGATCGCCGGCGCCCCCGGAATGAGATGGAGGACGTGGACTTCCTGTCTGGGCTGGAACTGGTCGATCTGCTGGACCGCCGGCAACCGGACTGGCCCCTGGAGCCCGGGCTCAGCTCGCCCTTGGGGGGGCGAGGATTGCGCCCTCCATCTTGCCCTGGGTCCTCCATTTTTGGGGCGGCCACCATGTGCTCAGGAGAGTGCCTTCTTCCCGGAAGCCCATGCCCCTGCTGGCCACGCCCAGGATTTCTTTAAACTAACCAATGACAATCAAGGGACGTGCACGCCAGAGAGATGACCACATCCTGTGTAACAAGACCTGACTCACGGCTGGCCAATTGGCGGGGCCCACAGTCCCCTCCCCTGCCCTTACTATAAAACCCACAATCCCATCAGGCCTCGCTCTCTTTCAGCCACTGGGCTTACCGTTGTTGTATCGGTGAGTGTGGTCGGGTTGCCGAACTAGTTCGAAATGAAGGACTCTTTGCTTTTGCATCGGACTCGCTGGCTCCCTGATGGGCTTTTTGGGAACCTTGAAATCTGGGCACAACACTATTCAAGCGGAAGATGGAGGAGGAGCAGCGGCAGCGGCAGGAGGAGCCGCCTCCGGGCCCGGCGCGACCCGACCAGCCAGAGACCGCCGCTGCCGGGGGTCCCGGGGATCCGAAGAGGAAGGGCAGCCCGGGCCCCACGCTCAGCTTCGTGGGCAAGCGCAGAGGCGGAAACAAAGTAGCCCTCAAGACGGGAATAGTAGCCAAGAAGCAGAAGACGGAGGATGAGGTATTAACAAGTAAAGGTGATGCATGGGCCAAGTACATGGCAGAAGTGAAAAAGTACAAAGCCCATCAGTGCGGTGATGATAAAAATCGGCTCCTGGTGAAATGACCCCCTTCCCCCGTCTGCCCACGGCCTGGGACTCTGCGATGTACATAACTATTTAATGCGGCAGCGGCGGCGGCAGCAGCCCTTCCCCCCAAGGACTTAAACACAGAAGGAAACCAAGATGCTTCCCGCAGCCGCGGACGATCCTCCAGGACTCTTTTTTACCTTGAGCACTTGCCTCCTGAGACTTCATAGAACAGTGGTTTACTGTCCCCTCTCTTCCCTCCTCCTTGCTCTCTCTGGCTCTTTCTGTCTCCCTTTTCTCGCCCTCCCCTTCCTCCTTCCCCCTTCCCTTAGCCATCACTTCTGGGAAGTAAAGAACTTGACTTAGTGCCGGAAAAAAAATAAAAATAAAAATAAAAAAAGAAAAGAAAAAGAAGAAGCAAAGCCCTGGCCTGTGTGCCTCCGTTGGTTGGAGCATTCGTCCCCAAAGGTCGAAGTTCAATTCCCCATCGGGGCACATCCCTCAGGTGCTGCTCCATGCACAGTAGGGGGTGTGCAGGAGACAGCTGCTTGATGTTTCTCTGCATTTCAGATGCCAACAACCCCTTTCCACTGGAGCCCCAACCCTCCTCTCTGCCATTGATCTTCCTCATGGACACGGGCCTGGGCTGCAGCAGGGAGGGGCACCCGCCCAGGGCTCCTGGGTTGGGTGGGGGAGACAAGGAGGCTCTGAAATGAACTTTCTCCCTTCCTCTCTCTCTAAAATCAAATTTAAAAAAAATATATAAAAATCAATCAAAACATGTCCTCATGTAAGGATTAAGAAAAAGTTTTTAAAATTTGAACAATAAAATACAGTAATAGCGCTCTAACCAGCTTGGCTCAGTGGATAGAGCGTCAGCCTGTGGACTGAAAGGTCCCAGGTTCGATTCTTGTCAAGGGCATGTACCTTGGTAGCGGGCACATCCCCAGTGTGGGGTGTGCAGGAGGCAGGTGATCGATGTTTCTCTCTCATCAATGTTTCTAACTCTCTGTCCCTCTCACTTCCTCTCTGTAAAAAATCAATAAAATATATTTTTTAAAAATACAGTAATAGAATCACTACCCTTACAGACTTGTCCAATAGCAAACCTAGCGGGCCAGCCTGCAGAAGTCCCTTGCAAGCCCTGGAGTGCGTGGAACTACATTACCCAGAAGCTCATGCGCCAGGTGTAGCCAATGACAAACCAGAACGTCATCCTCTTCGCGTGACGTGTCCATAAGGGGCGGGGCGTGTGCTGTCCTGCTCTAGGCGGGCGTTTTTTTCAGATTCCGCCGGACCCGCTGGGGTGAAGCTGACAGGAATTTGAAAAAAGGCAAAAAAAAAAAGAGTCGTCATCCCCGCCGCACGGACTCGGGGTGAGGCTCGGCGACACCAGGAGGGACACCCCTCTTCGCCCGCCGCCCCGCCCCGCACGCTCCGCCTCAGAGTCCGATGGCGGCGGCGGCCGCGCCCAGGCGCCCGGCTGAGGTGAGCGTGTCTCCGGGGCCACCCGCCTCCCGCACCCAACCCCGCAGCCCAGGCCCCGTGTCCCTGAGGAAAGTCGGGGGCACAGAGGCGGGTTGGGGTTCCTGAAGGCCCAGCAGGTCCTCGTCCGGCTGAAAGGGGGTGTTGGCGCCCCACGTCCCCGCCCCTTCTGGGGCCTGATGGTGAAGAGAAGACATTGGGGTCCCCTAGGCCTGGGGTCCTCTCAGAGGGAGGCCGCCCTGGAGGGAGGTGTGAGAGGGGATGGGCTGGGAGGGTCTCAGAAAGAAAAAGTGTATGGTTTCCTCAGTCCCCATCTTTTTTTTTTTTTTTTTTTTTTAAGAAAACATCAAATTTAATTTAAATTTTTTAAAAAATCAGAAATTGTCTGGGAAAAAAAGCAATGGAGCAAAGCAACTCCTAGAAAAGAGGGCTGCGTTTTGGGGAGCACATTGATTGCAAGGGTTGGAGAAAAAATAAAAATGCCATTTAGCTTGAGGATTTGTGAGTTCCGCGCAAATAAACTCATTTCCGGGGCAGAAGAATCCTTGGCCATTTCTTTTCTTTTTTTAAAATGTATTTTTATTGATTTCAGAGGGGAAGGGAGAGGGAGAGAGAGAAACATCAATGATGAGAGAGAATCATTGATCGGCGTCCCGGACACCCCCCACTGGGGATGGAGTCTGCAACCCGGGCATGTGCCCTTGGCCGGAATCGAACCCGGGACCCTTCAGTCCGAAGCCCTACGCTCCATCCACTGAGCCAAACTAGCCAGGGCTTGGCCATTTCTTAAAATCAAAATTGGCAGGTTTCTCTTTTGAATATCTTCTACCTTTAAAGACGCAATTACATAAAGTCTCCTAATCTCCACACAGGATATGTTTATTCTTGGTTTCAACCAACTCTCAATGGAGGGGCAACCAGGACGACACCATCTCCCCGGACAAAAAATATGGGAATATTCCCTTTTGTTGATTTATATGTCTCCTCATATGTTTCTTCATCAATTTCTATAGGGGCCATAGTTTCTTCTACATCTCCCAATATCACATTTATTTATTTATTTATTTAAAATATATTTTACTGATTTTTAACAGGGTGGAAGGGAGAGGGATAGAGAGTTAGAAACATCGATGAGAGAGAAACATCAACCAGCGGCCTCCTGCACACTCCCCACTGGGGATGTGCCCGCAACGAAGGTACATGCCCTTGACCGGAATCGAACCCGGGACCCTTCAGTCCGCAGGGCGACGCTCTATCCACTGAGCCAAGCCAGTTAGGGCCCTATAGCATATTTAAATGTTAATCATAAGCATGTCATCTACCTCAAAGCTCTCTGTCATTTCTCATCTATACCAATAATAGGGTAATATGCAAATTGTTTGGGCTGCTGTCACATAAGGCCCAATCAGCAGGCTGCATGCTCAGCAGGTGGGGATGGGCGGGGAGACCCCCCAGTGCATGAATTTTCTGCACCGGGCCACTAGGATTCACATAAATTCGCTCATCCAGGCTGAGCCCGATAAGATGCAGGGGCTCTTCTACAGTGTTGGTCCACATCGTCTGCCATGTTTCACACCTGGCGCCCTTTTCCTCTGTCCCCATCTCAACAGGACCCTGTGACCTTTGACGACGTGGCCGTGTATTTCTCCCGGCGCGAGTGGCGGCTCCTGGACGAGGCTCAGAGACGCCTGTACCATGAGGTGATGCTGGAGAACTTGGCACTTGCATCCTCTCTGGGTAAGACTCTCACCATCTCACTGGGGACA